TGGTTTAGGACCACTCAGGTCCTGGGGGTGCTAGACAAGGGAGATTCAACATTGCTCTCTCAAAAGAATACGTATGAGCCAAGAGTCCTAAAACAATAGCTGTCCTGAATCTGTGAATTCAGATCAGAGCATACGAGGCCATGTGGATTTAACTGCTGTCCCAGTACTGACTTCCACTATCATAACTGTAGAGAGGCTATGTAATGTAGGTTCATGAGCTCATCTCCTTAGAGGGAAGGAGAGACACTGCTCATTTTGGGTTTTGTTGTCAGAGCTTCCAGGAAGAGAGCAACAGATCCCTAAATGGAATAAATCCCTACGTGGTCTAAAGAGTGTTGATGGAAGCAAATCTCAGTAAACACAATGCAAATTATAAGAGTATTTCAAGGGAAACCTGCAAGGTTGATGGTTTTATGCCAGAAAATATCTAGGATGAAGATTGGGTATGAGGCTTATAGTTGAGGGCTATGTCTACACTCGCAGCTTCTTGCGCGAGTAATATGCAAATGAGGCTAAGCGTGGAATATTGCCGAGCCTCATTTGCATACCTAATGAGCCACCATTTTTTTCAGAAGAGGCTCTTGCACAAGGAGCGTCTACACTGCCCCTTCTTGCGCAAGAAAAACCCTCTTGCGCAATGCCGTTCTTCCTGTCAAGTAATAGGTGTAACAGCGTTGCGCAAGAGGGTTTTTCTTGCGCAAGGAGGGGCAGTGTAGACGCTCCTTCTTGTGCAAGAGCCTCTTCTGAAAAAAATGGTGGCTCATTAGGTATGTAAATGAGGCTCAGCGATATTCCACGCTTTGCCTCATTTGCATATTACTCGCGCAAGAAGCCGTGAGTGTAGACATAGCCAAGCTGTTCAAGTTGCTGAAGGCTTCAATCCCTTTCCTGCAACCATTCTGGTTTTGCTCAGGTTTAAAATGTAACTTCTCCCCTGGGGTTTGGGCTACTGAGTGAGCACTGCTGGGTGTGCAATGCATTCGAGTGGCAACAGGAGTTAGCTGGAACGTTCAGCGTGAGACTACAAAGCTGATGGAGCAGTGGCTTGACACTGGGGCTCCCATATACAAGGCGCCTGCCCCAGCCACCGAATTATAGAGTAGGAGTCTGTGCGATGGTTGGGACAGGTTGTCTCCCTCTCAGGGTGCTGTTTGGAACTGTGGTACCACTGAGCCTGCCTGACCCAGCAGTCTCGGTTCCCCTCACACTGTACTGCTATGGCATGCCAGTCTAACTCTCTCTCTGTCAGCACTTTAGCAGCACACACACAGGTGGGAATACTGCCAGCTGCAGCTACGCACACAGATGCTGAGATCAGCCAAGGAAGTGCCCAGCACTCAAGTGCACATCCCAGTTGGAGCGTAAACCCAAATTATACTGTCTTTCACTGCACAGAGTATAATGCAGCGCAAGCTCATGCAATTTGTCCCCTCCCTCAGTGTGGAGGAAGATATGTAGAATCCCCTCCCCCCCACCAGTTATGAATTTTACAAACTGATTTTAGAGAAAAAAGTTAAACTATAAAAGAAAGTGATTAAAGGGCTAGCAAACAGATCACCTAGCAAAACACACACACAATATAAGCTTAAGATACTGAAGAAACTGGTTACAAACAGTAAATTCTCACCCTGAATGTTTTTAGGCAGATTGCAGGGTAAGTTGCGGGCCAGTGTAGCTGGTCCTCAGGAATAAGCTTGATATATTTTGTTCACACTCTTCCAGACTGGACTCAGCATTTCTCCCGCCTCCCATCCCCCCACCTTTGTTTCTTAGATGTTTTACAACAGTCATCTTGGGCAGGGATTCAGTGAAGAACCAACCATGATTGTCACTCCCATACCTTCCAAGTGCTTTGGCTTCCAGTGTGATTCCCAAACCCATCCAGCACCCAGCTAGCAAAAAAATACTAATAGTATCTTGGAGTCCAGCTTTAGGTGACTTGATCACATGACCCTGCAGCCAGAACTCAGTCATTTGCAGTGTCCACAGGAAGGTTTTCCTAGGAGAGATTAGCATCTTCTAAAACCCTATTCTTCCTAATGATCCTTTCCAGCCCACAATCTAGACTGATTGCATTCAGTGTAATGGGCATTCTCTAGGGCAGTGTTTCCCAATTTTATTTGGCTGAGGAACCCTTTTCAGCTTTTCAAAATTTCAAGGAACCCCTAGGTTTGTCAAGCAAAAAAAAGGAGGGGGCGGGGGAGGAGAGAGGGACCCACCAATTCATGAAATTCACATTCCTTCCCCAAGACACACCCCCCATCTCCTTTCTGTGAGTCCTCATCTGCTCTGTTCCCCTCCTTTCCATCACTTGCTATACCCAGCCCTTATACCTGTCTCAACCTAGTGAGAGTGAGGTGTGGGGTGGGAATGAGGGATTTGGGTGTGGGAAGGGGTGAGAAGTACAAGCTCTGGGAGGGAATTTGGATGCAGGAGAAGGGGCTGTTGACTCAGGGAGGGGGCTCTAGGCTGGGGAGTGTTGGGTTCAGGTGAAAGGTTGGGGTGCTGAGCAAGCCAGGGCTTGTGGATGTCAGGGTGCAGGACTTTGGGCTGGATATGTGAGGGACTCAGGGCAAGGAGTTTGTGAGTATGATGGGCTCAGGACACAGATTTGTGATGTGTGGATGGTGCAGGAGTGTTGTGGCAGAAGACTGAGGATGTGGGGATGCAGGAGTGTGGGGATGTAAGAGGCTCAGGACGGGGGTTCCAGTGTATGATAGGCTCAGATTTGGGGTCAGGTGGTGCAGGAGTGTATGATGTTGCAGTGAAATGGGGGCTTGGTGCCAATTGGGGGCTTGTTGGCCTGGCTTCATTTTTAAATAAAATATTATGTCAAACTCAAAAGGTTTTAGCATTGTCTTTATATATGAGAGGGGTGAGGAACCTGTTGAGTCAACCTGTCCCCCTCCCACTAATACCGCTCCTCCTGCCCTTTTCCTCATTGTCTGCGCTTGGCCCCCTGCCATTTGTCTCTCCTCCCCCCCTGTCCCTTTGGTGCAGTGGTCCCCAACCACTGGAGTTTGCTGGGTGCCAGGGGGTGTGGCTGTTCG